AGTTTAGATTACAGCTCACATGAATTGTGATTGCAGGCTGCCATAGCAGAGAAAGAGAAGAAGTGCGAAGAGAAGAAGAAGCTTGCTACTTCTTCTGCATGATAGCCCCGACACCTTCTACTACAGTCTTGTCAGGAATTAGTTGTTTATGTTTTATTTTAGCATAACCCTGAGCAATTATTGAGCATATCAGTTTTTGTAGGTCTTAGGAGACTACAGTCTATACTCCAGCAGATCCTTCACACAGTGTTGACGGAACGCTTCTCCATTTCTGCAGCATGCCCCAGGATGAAGCCTGGAAGGATCAGCAGAAGCAGAAAATTGAGGATGCCCAGAGGGGTGCATATTACTGTTATCGTTATCATTATTCTTACTACTATTATTCTTACTATTGTTACTATTGTTCTTACTACTACTATTATTAGTATTACTATGATTACCATGAGTGTTACTACTAAATTGAGGATGCCCTCGGCTCCGACATCTTTGATCTGCACAGAACGGAGGCGTGGTTCAGTCAACTGGAACAGAACTTCGAAAAGAACATGACAACTACTATAGTAACTAGCGCTATATAGTATAAAATATGGACATATTGGGATGTAAAGATTCAAACTGCAGAACCACATGGAAAAATGCCATGAATCATGGAATGGGAGCTAGGATTATTTACCAGTAGCTGTAAGGTTGCTTTTTTGTCAGCAGCTGTCCTGGTTCAGGATGCCACGGGGAAGATCGTCGACACTCCGTACAAGGATGAGTGCCTCGCCCGCATTCAATGGCATCTGCACATGCAAGCTGTGCAAGTTGTGGACGCTCTAAACCTGAAAGCCTATAACCACTTCATAATCCAAGTTTAAGTTTCCTTTCCATTTTCTTACCAACTGATTCTCTATAGTCCCTCAAGCGTGAATGACGTGATGTTCATGGTTTCTTCTTGAGGACAGCCATGGTTTTGGCCGTCCAGAAACAAAGCAGGAAACTGAGCAACACCGACTGCTCGAGACTGAGGTGTGCAGCCTACAATGACCCAAACTGCAAGGATGAGGAATCGCTTTGCGGCTTTGACTCTGGTTGCGATCGGCAGCTTTGGAAGTGGACCTCTGAAGCCTAGTTGCACCAAGGGCGTGCAGGGAGCTTTTGCCAGGAGGTGGTACTGTATCAATACCTGCATGCCAAGCATGTGCTAAGGAGCTGCAGCAAGTGCGGGCCTGGCAGGCTTCAGGCTTCTGGACCTCCCTTGAATTGCCTTGCAATTGAGGTTGAAGAGTGGCAAAGCATGCTGGAAGCAATTCCATGCTTCTGAGCGGCGTTCTGCAGTTTTAGGCTGACCGCAACAGCCTATTGGCATAGTAGCTGCAGCTTAGGACACCATATGCTTGTTATTGCCTAGTTTTCTGATAGTTCCGGCTGGTCATGGCAAACGAGTCCGCGGTCAGCTGTTCGAGAGTTCCATGCTACGGAAGCTCTATGTCAATGTAATGTCTCACCTCAGCTCGAGCAGCTGAACAGATAAAAAAGTGAGCCGATAGGACAATGATGACAATGATAAGGAGCAGTGTACCGCAGGTTCTATGTCTGTCATGCAAAGAGACTGCCCTTTCCCTTTGCTGTGAACCCAGAAAACTGCGATGAAACAAAGCGCGTCTACAAATGAGTGTTTAGATGGCAAGAGGCTCCGGGTCGGCCATTTCATTTTCTTACTAACAGTAAACAATCAACAACTTCATCTAAACGCGGACTTCGTATTTGTCATCTTGTCTATTTCTTTTCCATTTGATTCTCCTTTGTTTCTACATATCCCTAGATTCCATGAAATCCCCATATAATCGCAGATGCTATAGTACTGTAGTGTGCATTCCATTTTCACTGTCCGTTCGATTCTCCTTCACTGGGGCAAATCCGTAAAATTCCGTAAATCTTGTAAAACCTCATAACCCCTACAGAACCCCAACATACTATATACTGGTTTCCATTTGCTTTTCCAATATCCCTATATAACCCGTAGATAATCTCAACATATTATATGGTAGTTTAAAAAGACCCTATATGAGCCATAGTTTAAATTCCTTAAAGGGGGTTATATAGGGATTATATAGGGGACTACTATAGGGCTTATTCAGGGGGTAGGAGTTTAGACAATGGCTTGTATGTTTTTTAAGAGGAGTTGGAAGCGCCTGCAGCGCTCCACGATCGCATGGGTCTCGCACTGCCATGAATTGGCGCCTGGGTGAATTCCTGATAAGAAAGGTCATTGGTATGTGGGAGTTTCCGAAAATTAGTTTTATCTTATTGGGGGGTCCCAATAAGGATTGTAGTATTTTGGGGTCTATACTTGTTAGGGTCCCCTTATTTTCGGAAACTACCATGTTTGAGTCTGCAATGGACACCCTTCTTCATGGAAACATGCATCTATCTGGCATATATAGTTTGATTCGCCCGTGTGGGGGATGCCTGTCAGTGTAAGATGAGGCAAACACCTTTTTTCTCCATCTGCGGACGCCAGCCTTGACCACCCCCAATTCACTGTGTCTGTGTTGCATAAAAGATATTTGATGACTCTTGTACAAAGCGAGTTTTGCAGCAAAAATCAGTAGCGGGCGACATTGACGGAGAACAACTTGTGAGCGCTGAATATTTGGTTCGGACTGACCGCTCGCCCACGTTTTTTGTGTTGCAACGCGCGTTTCCGGTGCGTTCTCTGTCTCTGCGCCGTCAATTGTTGGCTCAGTGCTTCGAGACGTGGATAGCAGCAATTCAAAGCTGAAACCGCCACAACACCCATGCCACCCCAAAAACAGTACGCTTGCAGCTTGCTACTGTAGGATTGTTTAGCAGACATGGAGCCACGTCTGACCTCTCTTCGTAACCTCAGCTCCTTGCAGCGTAAGTCCGGTTCCGTGGGGTGGCCTGCACCGCTTATCCGGCCCTCTCGCGGTCATTTTCGGATGTCGTTCCTCAGGCCTGTAGCTTTGGACCCATCCATCAAACTTAACAAGCTACTGTAATGTTTCCCGCAATGTTTGTTTGCGATGCCTCGATGCGAGGCTACTGCGGCCAAATGTAGCGTCGGTGTGGTTGAGATGGTGTCCCGGCACGTCGCAGAGGTTCCGTCTTGAACTGCAATTTTTGCCAAAGCCGAGGAGTCATCAAGCGCGCCTCCGCCCCCGCCAACCGTTCCTGAGGTTGGATCGCACATTCCTCGTTCCAACTGGAAAGCTTGTCATGCGCGTGTACAGGCATGGTTGCCGAACAAGCTCCGACGGCGGCAAGGCTCAGTCTCAAATGTTATACAGTAGTTATTGTTATTATTATTGTTATTGTAATACCAATTGCTGTTACAAGTATGAGTATTGTTGTACTAATATTAATAGTTATTGTTGTTGTTCATCATCCAGTAATGGCCTGCCAGCAGATAGCTTCCACTTTTCCCAGGCTTGTTGGACCATACAGATGTGCGCCCGGCCTAGTACGCATGCGGACCTATCTGTCATGGTGTATTTTGACAAGCAGCAGGATCTTATGTCAGTGCCATGCGCAGAAAGAAGGATCAACCAACAAAGATATCAAAGCCTGACCGCCGCGAATCACATAAATCTTGCGCAATCCTTCCATAAGTCCTTACAGCCCCCATACCTCGCAAGAAGACCATCAACAGGGTTTTTTGCCTGGATGCTTGCTTAGGCCTGCCAGACA